TTCTTAAAGCTTAAAAAGTCCACACTTCTTAAAGCTTAAAAAGTCCACACTTTTCAAGTCCACACTTCTTAAAGCTTATGGACTTGATGATGATGCACCATCAAGCCCTTGTTGACTCCTAGTGACCATGTAGGTAGACCTTCTCCATGACAATCTGTCTTGCTGGCTGGGGAATTCTGAGAGTTGAAGTCCACACCTCCTAAAGTTGCTGAGGTTGAGAAACCCTGGCCAATGTATTTTCATTCTTCTTTTAAAAAATCCCCTTTTGATCTTTTCCTCAATCTTAAACACTGAATGGGTTCCCCAGGTTGAGAAACATGACTTGGATGCTCCACCCGCCCCCCCACGTCATTGTGGAAACGCCATTTAAGCTTTCTCCACTCGCATTCCTGTTCTGACTCCAAGTCCCCGTACTCACAGACAGAGGCGCACCGGCACGGGTCGTGCTTGTCGAGGTAATGCTCCAGCGTGTCCCAGCCTCCTCCAACCCTCACCATCACGTGGCTACGGAGTACCTAGGAAGGAATCAAAGGGAACGTCTTCCAATCATGCCATTCGGGTTCTGCTTTGGGGACAAGCGCTGGACCGGGTGGGCGTTCAGCCCACCCAGTCCACGTAAAATGTGTCAGAGCAAAAAAAGGACCAGGTTTGTTCCAAGGAGTTGTACGGTCCCATTCCCACGGTATCATAAAGCTGGTTGAGTTTTGTTGGGCCCTGTCCTTGCTCAAGGTTGCGCAACATTTTTAGTATTGTTTTAATTCTATATATATTATGTATTTTATATATATGTATAGTTTTCATGTCTTTGTAAGCTGCCCAGAGTCCCCCATTGTGGGGGAGATGGGCGGGGGAGAAATCCAATAAATAAAATAAATAAATACATAAATAAATAAAACTTCCCTAAGAGCCCTACAAGGCTTGGCATCTGAAGCTGATTTTAGCACCCCGGGAAACTCAGCTGGCTGATCACTTCTTTTTTTCACTTTTGCGCCCATGGAGGTCCTTTGCAACCTGACCTTTCTAGAACTCTTCCAACAGGGACATGACAAAGCTTCTACAAAACGCGAGCGAGAAAAACACTAAATCCAAAAACTCAAAACAGAACGGAGGCTAGGAAAAAAGCAGGGAAGAGAAAGAAAAGTGTGGGTGGGGCGAGTGTCAACTTCTGAAGCGAAACACGTTTGCATTTTAGGGTTGATATTCTGAGACAGTTCCTGGAACATTTTCCCAAAAGATGTTCCCGCTGGCTGCTTGTAGTCTTTGGGACTCCTTGCCAAGGGAAATAAGGTTTCATTTCCCCTAAAGGATAAAGATTGCAATTTTATTGCCCTTTTTTCAAAGGCAAGAGTAATTTGGTCCCAAATCTCTCAGCTTTAGCGATCGTCCTCTCTTTTCTGGCCCGTGCTATCAAACAGCAGCAGCTGGTTGTGCAAAAATATCTTTAAAAGCTGGCCCTCTCATTAGGCACAGGACAACGGCATAAAAGGACAGCAGATCATCTTATGAGTTTATTTTTATCCTAGCTGTTTTCAAGCTCAGGCACCCAACATCATGGAGGGGTGGTTTTGCAGCCATCCTTAAAACACCACTGCAAAAGAACCGCATTATAATCAAGTCGCAGAATGAGAATTTGTGGTTCAAGGTTGGGGAAGATGTCCTTCCTTCCCATCTATGATGCGCATGTCACTCTGATCTTACAGGCTTACAAAATTTAATCCGGAAGAGTGGGGAAGAGCCGAGAGAGGATAAAACGTGCAGTCGAAGCAATTACCGATTCCTCTGGGTCTTGCACACGACGCTTTTCCAAGCGGTGATTAAAAAACAATGGCCCAGCCCCACCCAAACTCCAGATTTAAGGGCACAATATTTACAGGTTGGAACGACAACCCAGTGACTTTGTGGGTCTAGAAAGCCAGTGGGCGACCCATCAGCCCTGCAAAAACGCACTTTTAAATGAAACAATGGCACGCAGGGCACTTTGTTTCAGAGGGCTACTGGAATCTGTCAAAACAGCACCCATCTTTACGTTCCTTGTGCCCATCAACTGAAGCACCAGCGGAGGCCAGGCCGTGGCACCCATTCCTTCCAAAACTTTATAACAGCATTGCCAGACTGGAAGCCGAGGCGTTCAAAATATTCTGCATTCGGTGCCCCATCTCTCGAGGTACGGCTGGAAAAGCCCAGCATGAAAACACGAGAGGGCTGCGGTTCATCTGAATGGATACAAATCGACTTTCCTCAACCTGGCCCCAGGTAGATATGCTGGACTACGACTCCCGTCATCCACAGCCAGCACGGCTTCATTTCCAAGCACTTCTTCCCCACGGCACGTTTGGCTCTTGAAGAATCCCAGTTAGAGGTCTTCACAGAAAAAGTCCTTTGCTGCAGATGGATAGGCTTAGGTTGTGCAGAAGAAGAGTTGTAGGAGGGTCCGGTGTGTGTGTGTGTGTGTGTGTGTGAAAACATCAAGACCTGGCCACAACCGTGCAACTGAAGCCCTACTACTGTTTTACGTGCAGGGCTTCGATTGCACCGTTGTGCCATGTTGATTTGTTTGACCCCCCACCCACCGCCATGGACATGGGGTGTGGGGGGTGCTGAAGCAAAGACAATCCTCCCCTTTCGGCCTCTGCTGGGGGGGCAAAGATTGAAGAAAGGAGATTGGCAAAAGGATTTTTGCACCCAGAGAAACTGCGCATGGGGACCTGAGAACCATGCCATCCAAAAGGCAGGGCTTTTGAAGACTGGCAGAGCATCGTTCTCTTCAGCCCCGGCCTGATTTGTCATCCCCCCCGGCACCCTTCCCTGTTTGTCCGGGTCAACCCCAATTCTTTGCCCCCTGGCTGAAATAAACCTGCCGGATGACCCACGGATCTGACGTGGCTGGTGGTGATTTTCCATATCCCCAGCTCGGTTCCTTTGCCCACTCCAGTTGCCAATTATATGGGACTGGCTGTGTTTGCCCAATACTATATTTTTCTGAAGAAAGCCTTCTATTTGGGGGGGGGGGAGGCAGTATTCCATAAATGCAGAGCGCCGAAAGCCCCCTAAGAGAGCAAGACTGCTTCTATATCGGCACGCACAAGATTACTGGGTTGTCGAAACAGCGACATAATGAATGGGCCTCTGCAATGTGGTCGTTAACCTTCTCCAGATGTTTTTCCAGAAACACATGTTTCCTGCTGTTCTTTGGTCATGTGAAAATGAGAGCAACTGCTCTTTTTCTTCTTCTTCTTCTTCTGTACATTTTTTCTTTCCTTAAAGTGCAACTTGGAAGAATCTCTCATGTCTTCTTCTGTCTAGAAGTATTCCAGTCATATCTAGCCACCTTTCTCCAATAATGTATCTTTTAAGAAGCGTACATGTGCCTGGTAATAAAAACGAAACTTTACTAATGTTGTCTTCCAATACCTAGGGCTGAATTAACTTGGATCTGCTTTGGTTTATGGATTCACGCTTCATATTTTGATTATTGCTTCTGTCATCAAGCGTTTCTGTCAATTACCTCTGGCTGCTGGAAAAACATCTGAGACGCGCAGGAAGGCAACCTTGCAGAAAAGGGGTTCAGTGTTAGTCCCTTGCCGAAAGAAAAGAGAAAAGGAAAGAAGGGCTTCTCCCACTGAAAAAGCAAGCCAGTTTATGATAGACTGTGGTCATTTTCTGTTGCAAAAGATTGGTCTTGGAGCAAATCTGGAAGCCTTTCAAGTGCCGCTGGGCCTCTATCTAATTAGAACGTGCTTTTTCTTTTGCTGTTTTTCATATACAACAAACGAGATGCGTCTGCAAAAATGGGAGACTTCTTGATTTAAAGCAGAGGAGAGGAATTCTGCATCCACCTGTGCCCGACCGGCAGCTCCCAGCATCCCCCTCACCGTGGTCCAGGCTGGCTTAAGATGTAGGGAACTGTGGTTCACCAACCTTTGGGGGGCCTCAAAGGTTTCCCCCCTCTGAGTTAGGGACTGGGATTATATTCCTGATAACTTCCATCTCCTAGGTCAAGACATGCTTTGGAAAAGCCAGCCATGCTAGCTGAGGATGATGGGAGTTGTAGTGCAGCACCCCAGCAAGGGCAAGGTGCAGGGCCAGAAGAGGCGTGCTTAAATTAAATTAAATTAAATTAAATTACATTAAATTAAATTACATTAAATTACATTAAATCTGATTGCACAGAATTAAGCACCTGGAGAGGAACACTTTTTTCCCGCCCCCTGCAAGAAAAGTAGAAAGATCAGGAAAGCGGCAGAAAGCGGGGGAGAATTTGCAGGAGCTCTTACTCGAACAAAGATCAGCGCGTTGGAGTCTCCAACTTTGTATTTGCCCTCGGAGACTTTGACCATGGGGAACTGGGATGGGCAGGTACAGTGGCCGAGGATATCCCTTACCTGGAAGGAGGGAAAACAAACCAACGGGGTGGAGGAAGAGAGGAAAAACACGCTGGTTAGGGTTTTGCAGCCAGTAATCCCTCCACCCACTTTCGTCCCCACCTCGTGCAAACAAGACGTGCAACTCTGCTGAGCGGAAGATGAGAATGTCCCAACACACCCGCGCACACACACACACACACACCCAGGTGTGCTGGGCAGCACGCAACACACGTAAAGGCTTTGATCGCGTGGCCAGGGCTGTCCAATAAGGTGGCAGGCTGGCAGACCTCCCTGGCCATGATCACTAAAGACACGGGCCGAGCTTCCGGCACACCGCCGTGGCCAAAACCTTGACTTTTTAACCACCCTTTGGGGACACCCCTGATCATGGCTGGCATCTTGACTTCTTTGACACCTGCCGCCTCCTGCTGCATGGGGAGGGGGGGAATAAAAAGAAAAGGGACTTTTTTTCAAGAAAAAAAATATACAGCATGAGATTCTCCAGGAGTGTCATCTTAGATAGATAGATAGATAGATAGATAGATAGATAGATAGATAGATAGATAGATAGAT